AGGCGTGCGCCACCACCGCCCGGCCTCAGTATCCATTTCTTACACCCTTGTAACAGGTCAAGCCTTTCAATTGTATTAGGAGGCCACTGGCTTCCACCAACTAAAAGACGAAGAATGTCAACACACAGCATCTGAGACACATAGCTGACTGCTGTAACTCACCTACCTGGTATTTCCACCAAAGTGTTTGAAAAGTGCCTTGATTGGTGACTTTTTCTGTTACTATAAAAATACGATGGAACATCTGCCACACTGAAACATGGAATTTAGGATAATCTCAATCTGTGTTTCCAGGCCATGGTTGCTTCTATTTAGCTGCAGAATAAACTCTATGTTTCTTGAGGTGAAAGTTGTTTTTGCATTGACGTGTATATATCTATATGCATTTTCCATGTTAACAACCAGAATCTGGGTCAAATCAAATGGGACAAACCTCATGTGGCTAAGCCACTTGATACAATGCAACATACAGACACTGCTCAATGTGTATTTCCAGGGGTCAGAGCCAGAATGATTTCTGCCTTCACCTGAGAACTTGAGAGCCTGACAGAGTAATTGATGATCTTCGCTAACCCCGCATTCATTTCAGAATTTAAGGACAACCTTTGGAGCAAAGGAGTAAGATAGAAGTTACACTTTTTTTTTCCCCCACAGTATAAGCAAGGGCCTCAAGCATGCTAGGCAAGTGATCCACCACCAAGTGGAAAGTTCACAAATGCCTACTGCAAATTTTTCAAGTTTACCATGCCAAGTCCTAAATTCAAATTCTTAAGGATGTCAATTTAATTGTTTTATTCCCAGACATCTGTGAGAATGCTATCCACTCTAAGTGTGTGCATGGGTGTGCACGTCACTCAGTCATGACCACAGACCCTTCTCAGTCCGTGAGTTTCCTGTGATGTGATTTAGATGGCCTCAGTTTTACTTCACCCATTACGTTCTACAAAAACAAAATGGTATGCTTTAGTTTAATTTTGGCCACAGCATTATCGGTGGAAACCATGTTCTGCAATAGATGCTGCTAAAAAAAAAAAGTAAAAAATCAACTCTTAAACAGAGGGAATGATCTTATTTAGTGCCGTCTAGATTTTTTGTGGGGGTTATGAAAACTTAAGTCAGGGTCTCACTATGGAGCCTTGGCTGGCTAGAACTCATTCTGTAGACCAGGCTGGCCCCCGAATCAGAAACCTTGCTTCTGCCTGCTGAGCTATGGGATTAAAAGGCAGGGGCCAACACACCCAGCTTTCCTTCTAGACTTTCAGTTAATCGTGTGTGTGTCTAGAGAAAGGACCGGACCGTTTCCTAAGCAGGAAGCAGGAGGAAGCAAGCACGGCTCCGTCACCAGCACTCCTCCTCTCTCTTGTTCTCTGAGCCTGTCTGGCCTCTACATCTTGTCACAGCCTCCAGAGTGCGGGCACCCAGGTCTGCACCAGGCTCTGGGGGAAGGTATCTGCTGCTGAAGGTTGGTCGATGCTGTTTCTTTAAACCCAACAACAGAACAATTGATAGCTAATTCATCCAAAACGAAATGTTTGGTGTTCAGTTCACTAAAATACTTCTGAGATACAAAGCTAAGAAGGCAATATGTTATTTTTCAAAAACAGAAAAAACAGTCAATTCCCAATTCAAGAGTATCAAGTTTAGAAATGCAAGGGAGAACATGGGTTGATTGATGATCTCAGGTGTAACTAGGTTTTAAAAGATCACATTATTTTTTTTCATTATAGTCAACATTTTCCCAATCTTTAAACACACCAAGTACTTTAAGTACATATGGGGAATACCCCACCTCTAATTTTTCTAATTGTTTAACATTTTTAATTCTTCTCTCATGTACTACATTCTGAGCGTACTTCCCTTTTTTCTCAGTTCTTCTCCTAGTTCTCCATCCTCCAGGTCCCTCCCCCATACCTCCCCCCCCCACCCCCCGGAAAAGATCAAGCCTCCCGGGGACATTAACAAAACATGACACAAGATACAGTACGACCAGGCATAACCCTTCACATGAAGGCTGGGGAAGGCAACCCAGCAGGAGGAAAAGGGTTCCAAGAGCAGAAGAGTCAGGGACACCCCCAGTCCCACTTTCAGGAGTCCCACAGAACCCCAATAATCATAACATACATGTAAAGAACCTAGTACAGACCCATGCAGGCTCTGTGAACCCCCCCCCCCCCCCCCCGAAATGCCCATGGACCCTGGGCATTGGTTTGATTTGGTGGGCCATGCTCTCATGGAGTCTTCAACCCCTCTTGGTTCCCACAATTCCTCCTCCCCCACCTCTTCCTCAGACTTCCTAAGCTCCGAGGGAGGGATCTGGTGGACATCCATAACCTGGGACCTCTCTCTCTCTCTCCCTAATGTTTGGCTGACCCCACCTCTAATTTTAAACACAAAATTTAACAATAGCTCATTTATGCTGACATTCTACGTCTAAATAATTACCATTAAACATCTAGGTACATTGCTCTCACATAAAGCTTAATGAAAAGAAAAAATAAACAACAGCTAAACAAAGGTAACATCATGAGGTGGTCATATCGTAACATCTTCTTTTGATAATGAAAGCAAAATAATGAGGCCAAATAATCTGATGACATTATAAAACAACAGAAATGTCCTGAAATCAAGATGAGCATCTTGTGGCACCATAGCTAATGCCTGCAATCCTCAGTTGCACAAAAGGATTGAGGCCAGCCTGGACTAGATGACAGCCCATCTCAAAACAAAACAACAGGATGAACATCTTGAAATCTGTTTTCAGTACTATGAGAATGAAAACATTAGCCTGCTACAAGCCTGTAATCTCGGTACCTGTAAGCTAGGGAAGGGAACTGAGAATTGAAGGCCAGGCTAGTCCATCAGGAAACAAAACAGACCAGAACAAAACAAGGAGAAAGAAGTAACAACTTCAATGGTTTCTTTGAGGAATGAAGACAAAAGGCAATTGTGAACTATTCCCAGGTCTAGGTGGCAATACTGGACCACTGAGAGGAGAGCAGTGCTTGGGAAAGTAGTTCAGTGGCAGAGTGCTGCCCATCATCCACCAGGCCTTAGGTGACATACCCAGCACAAGGCTTGTCAGGACAGAGGGGCCCACAACCAGATGCTGGTGTAGTGCAAAGACGACTTTAAAAATACTTTACTTTTGATTCAGCACTAGTGTTCAAGAGCAAGTCAAAGCAAATCTGACAATGAGACGTCAGGCATGCAGCTACACTTCACATGGTAAACTGTGAAGCCAAACATCATGGAAATTCCAACAGTCTGACTATGTACAGAACGTGTAAAACTAGTGCACCTGAACTTACAAACACAGGTCCCAACTGCACATATCACCGGGGAGCACCTTCCCTCTCCACGGCAGTGGAAACTGTCCAAAGCCTGTACAGCTGGCTTGTGTCTACAAGGTAACAATCAGGAACACTCCATAAACACCGTGAAAACAACTATGGGGGAAGTGTCCTTCTTCCTAACTGAAAACTGTTCACTTACAAAACTATGCTAATAATTAGTGGAAATCATTGTTTACTATTATTCAAGGTTTTGTTAAATTTATTTTGTGGGTTTTACGACACAATTACATGGTTTCTATTCTGAATAAATAAAATCTAGTCGTTAAAGACTCTTGGTGTAGTATCTGCTGCTAATTTAGATAGATACAATGAACCCTTCGTGAGAAAAGGGCAACATTCACCTCAAAGCTGAAAATGCCACATCAGTTTTACCACTGCTACTGGACTCTAGAATAGCTATTCTAATCCAAACAGTCACAGTTGTGTGTAAAATGTAATAGTTTGCAAAATACATCGTCTGGGAAAAGTTTCTATATAGCAATAGTGACTACCTATAAAAAGCCAGTGATGTACAAAAAAAGATCACAGGTAATTTATTAGCTTATATACAAACCTATACATTGGATTTCCTGCTAATAATCTATTTTCTTGGCCAGTCTAAAAGCACTGATGGCTCATGACTTACAAACTTAAGATCAGAAAACAGGAGCTGAGGAACGACTTTTGTTTAAAATATTTCCTTGGACTGATGTTCATGTAACAAGGATGCCTCTGATAAATAATTTCCAGTACATAGACACTTAGATTTATTATTTAAGAAATAATAATACTGTAAGCCATTAATGAAAGCTCTAAATGCTTGAGGTATGATTGGTTTAGGATAATGCACATATCATGGATCTTGGCTCTTTTCTGTGTACATCTGAAGTGTGGAAGTACACATTTCTAGGGACTTTTTCAGTAGGGAACACATTTCTAATTACAGTTATAAAAGCTTTTCAAATCCTATAGTTAATATTAATTGTGAAAATATTCTTACAACAATATAATCTTGACCAACAACAGGAGACAAACGGCTCTTAACTAGGCCCAAGTCTCCTCTGCAGCCCACTGCAGAGGCATTCCACAGACCGACAGCTGTGTACACAGACACTGCAGCATAGCCTGCATGGTCATCATGGTTAGCTGCTCCTTCTGAAGCCTGGGGCCAATTCAGCACTGTGTGACTATACAATCAGTTCACACTGAAACCCAGCAACACTGGAGTTTGGGACAACATTGTTTTGAACTGCACTAATTATGGTGGTAGGACATACCTACCCTGGCCAGATAAAGGTTAAAGAAAAGTGGGAACCATTTAAATCCTTTGTACTCTGAGCACATCACAGAAATGTTTTCTATGGATTCAAGTTGTTAAGTTCTTGTGTGTGTGTGTGTGTGTGTGTGTGTGAGTGTGTGTGAGAGAGAGAGAGAGAGAGAGAGACAGAGACAGAGACAGAGAGACAGAGAGAGACAAAGAGACAGAGAGAGACAGAGACACACACATTGGGACACTATCTTAAACCCAAATTTTAAAGACAATTCCTAAAATCCCATATAGGATTTGAGATACTAGAATTTAGCTATTCAAATTTATATAGAAGCACAGTACTTTAGAGAAGTACAAAGAAACACCTTTTAGAAATACAGGTATATCAATTAACAAAATTGGTATTTAAAAGGTTTAATATGGGGTGTGGGGGGGGAAGGTAGTGGTACTAATTCTTAATACAAATTATTAAACATAGTTTATATAATTTCAAACGTTATTCACATTATTGCTCGATACCACAATTATATGGAACAAGTTCTTGACACACATTAAAACGTGTTTAATTTTAGGCTTATAAAAAAACAAAGTCTACACATAGGCCATTCAGAAAATCTATAGTGTGGGGAGATATGTACAACTAAACAGAAAAAATATATGTATGTCTATATTTAAAAGGAATAAGCTAAAAAAAAAAAGTAATAAGCTAATCTGATCTGAACTTAAATATCCAATTTTCAATCAAAAAAGTCTATAACTGGATTGAAAGTGAATGGGTAGATTGGAAATAGTATTAAACATACTCACCATTTCTTAGTGACTATCTACTCTATATAACAATATACTAGTGTTATATCAAATGATTTTTAATTCTAGAAGTTTGTTTTCTTTCCAAACTAGCGAGAAACATATCCATTCCCCAATTGTTAGATTGGAAACATTTGAATTTAGAAGGGGTAATTCTCTACTTCTGTATGTAAGATACGCTGAGCAGTGACCATAACTGGGTACAGATGCCTTTCTGCCTGTCGACTGGCACTGAGGACAGATGCTACTCTACAGTGAGCTCACTGAATCCTGGCAACTGCTGCTGCATGCACACCATTCGTGATGTGTCTATTCTAGGAAAACGACCTTTTGAAGACAGGGATTTTTCAAAACCATTACTAGTTCTTCATAAAGCTAAAGTGTATCTGCTGAGACGGAGCATCAGGAACTGTGTGAGAAAGGTCAGTGCAGGCCCAAAAGGCTACGTGAGAAAATGTACTGGCTTCAAATACTGCTGTACAAATCCTAACAGAAAGGGAAAAAAAAAAAAACAGTACAAGAGTATGTTAGAACAGACAACAAGTATGTTTTTCAATGTTAAGGAACTGACAAAGGACCGTGTGAACCTTGTTGACAAAATAACAAAGGCTGACCATTTTTATGCTAAGTTCAAATGTATTTTTTTTGAGAATACAAAAAGTAATCCTTGAAAATCAGAATACATAACAGAAAAGAGCACAATAACTTAAGTATTAAACATTTGTATGAAATAACTTGCAAAGTTTGACAAATATGCACACATAGAACATGCGGTTATTTAAAAACAAAACAAACAGAACCACCACCCGATTCTGTAGAACCAGCATCATGTCACCAGCAGGAGAGCACCAAGCAAGGCACCATTGGAAAGACAACACACTTGCAAAGTCTCTATAAATAAAGCAAATGCTAATCTGGTCGGAAAATCGGTGTCTTTGGTAAAAATTCTATGAGGATGACCTGTAAAAGGAGAAGAAAAGGGTTGTAAACAACTTAAAGCACATTTTTTCTTAACCTTAAAACATCAGTCATATTCTGTTGCTTAAAATTTGTTTAAAAAAGATGTAAGGCTGGGCTCACGCCTTTAATCCCAGCACTAGGGAGGCAGAGCCAGGCGGATCTCTGAGTTCGAGGCCAGCCTGGTCTACAGAACGAGTTCCAGGACAGTCAGGGGCTACACAGAGAAATCCCACCTTAGAAAACAAAACCAAAAAGATGTAAGAGTAGAAGAGGGATGTATTGGGAAGAGCAAGAAGGAAGAGGCTCAGTGAGAACAGGACACAGACAAGAGACTAGTGGAGGTGTGAGTACAAACAAAATACACTACATATGTATGAAAATGTCATAATGAAGCTCAGCAAGCATAATTAGTACATGCTAACATAACACAAAATTTTATTTTGAAAATCCACACACATTTCAAAACTTTAATTTTATCTTTTTAAAGACAGGTCTGACTATGTGACCCCGGTTGGCGTGGAACCCTTTATGTATACCAGGTTGGCCTTGAAATCATAGAAATCTGTGTCCCCGCTTCCCAAGTGCTAGGATTAAAGGCATGTGCCACCATGTTCACCCTAATTTTTAAAACAGACATTTATTTGATAACTTTGAACCTCAACACTAAGTTTTCTTTTTATTTCTGGACCTTTACCAAGTGTGAAATATCCTTCAATTCTATGAAAAATGAATAAAATAATAGAAGTCTGTTGTGGGTACACTGTGAAGATGTATTGCTGTGATTGGTGTAGTTAAAAGCTGAACAGCCGCCGGGCGGTGGTGGCGCACGCCTTTAATCCCAGCACTCGGGAGGCAGAGCCAGGCGGATCTCTGTGAGTTCGAGGCCAGCCTGGGCTACCAAGTGAGCTCCAGGAAAGGCGCAAAGCTACACAGAGAAACCCTGTCTCGAAAAACCAAAAAAAAAAAAAAAAAGCTGAACAGCCAATAGCAAGGCAGGAGAGAAAGGTAGGACTTCCAGGCAGAGAGAGAACACCAGGAAGAAGGCAGAGGAAGAAGGTGGAGTCACCAGCCAGACAGAAAGGAAACAGGATGGGAATACAGAATAAAGGTAACCAAGTCACATTTAAAAAAAAAAAAAAGTAGACTAAAAGATAGGGGGGTTATAAGAACTAGTTAAGAACAAGCCTAAGATAAGGCTCAGCTTTCATATTGAATAAGTCTCCATGTCTTTTTTTGTGAGTTGCTCCCTTCCCCTGCCCCAAAAGAAAATCCATCTACAGAAGTGCAAGAAGGTAATGAGAGGTCAGTAACATAGGTGTTCCACTTGATATACTGAAGTAGCATGTGTACACATGCATGCCTCAAAGAATGAGAAATACTGAGAACTGAACACAAGGGCTTTCAGTGGGCTCTATTTAAGCCCAACAACCTAAGCAAAGTCTTATTGTCCTCACTGACAGACAAGGAAACTAATGCTCTAGACCAGACAGGTGTGTTCTTCAAAATATTATTGTGCACCTTAATAAATTTATCTGGGATCAGAGAACAGAACAGCCACTAGACAGACCAGGAAATGGTGGCACTCACACCTTTAATCCTAGCATTCCAGAGGTAGAGATCCGTTTGGATCTCTGTGAGTTCAAGGCCACACTGGAAACAGCCAGGCGTGGTAACAAGTGCCTTTAATCCTAGGAAGTAATAGCAGAAAGCAGAAAGGCATAGAAGGTGTGAGGACCAAGAACTAGAGCCTGGTTAAGCTTTTAGGCTTTTTGAGCAGCAGTTCAGCTGAGATTCATCCTGGATGAGGACTCAGAGGCTTCCAGTCTGAGGAAACAGGATCAGCTGAGGAACTGGCGAGGTGAGGAAGCTGTGGCTTGTTCTGCTTCTCTGATCTTCCAGCGTTCATCCCAATACCTGGCCTTGGTTTTGTTTTTGTTAATAAGACCTAACAATTCGTGCTACAGACAGGCACAATGATTTTGCAGAGAGGGACTTGCCTCCAAGTCTGATGACCTGAGTTTAGGCCCAGGAACTTAGATGGAGAAAGGAGAGAACTCCTCTAGGGTATTCTCTGACCTCTACACGTGTGGGGCATGTGCCCTCCACCCCACACACACATACAGATACAAAGTAAGTAAATGTAAATAAAGTAGAAGAAAATGAATTATCTCATAACCTGTAAAATCAAGAACTATAAAGGCAGAAAAAGCAGACTGTGTAGGAGGCTTAAGAGATAGCTCAGAAGTTAACACTTGCTACTCTTCTAGAGGATGCAAGTTCAGATCCTAGCACCTACGTCAGGTAGCTCACAACTACCTTTTAACTCCAGCTGAGAGATCCAATACCCTCATCTGTCGTAGACACCTACACCTACATTCTCACACACACACACACACACACACACACACACACACACACACACACACACACACACACACACGTAACAGAAAGTATTTTTTTAAAAGAGAAAGAAGCTGGATGTGGCACAAATCCCAGAATTTGGGAGGCAGAGGCAGGCATATCTCTAAGTTTGAGCACAGTAAAGTCAATATAACCAGTTCTAGGACAGTTGGGGCTACATAGTGACTATCTCAAAAGAACAAAAGATAACAGTAACAAAAAAAAAAACTAAATTCCAAAGCTTTGCCTTTTCTACCATAGTTTATATAGTTAATCACTATTTTTATTAGTATTTCTTCTCTTTAATCAACCTAATCCCATAGTCTTCTCTATGTCCCCGAGTTGCTTACAGTTTACCACAGCAGGACAGATGAGCTCTGCATGAGTACTCCCTTCTTCCTCCTTCTGTAATTCTGAAGACAGGGTTTTCGGGATCAACTGGAATTCATGATATAATTCAGGCTGGCCTTGAACTCTCACCAATCCCCACAAGTGCTGGGGTGATAGTCAGGAGCACCCTCCCCAGCTCACATGCATGCACTCGCTCTCTCCCAGGAATTATGCTCATTCTCTCTCTGCCTCTTCCCCAGCCAGACTTCTTCTTAGTTCTGGGTACTGATTTCTTAGGAATGTCTGCTCTCAAATAGCAGTCCTCTAGAGACCCTAGCCTCTAGAAAGGTGCAATCACAGGTGTGTACCTGTAACCCAACTATTTCTTTTTCCCAAGCCCTTCTCTTAGCAAAACTAGTTAAAATTGTTCCAAAGGCACTTTTAGTAGTAAACCAAAGGAAACTGAAAATATTGTAACATAAATATCCAAGCTGACTACAGCTAATTTTTATTCTGAACTTGAACTATACTGTTATATTAAATCTTCCCATGTTCCAATTCTAGATAGAATAGATACAGGTCAAAAAACTGTTTGAGGAAGCTGGAGAGATGGCTCGGAAAAGGATTCATATGTTCAGTTCCCTGCACTACCACGCAGCTCACAATCATGTCTAACTCTAGTTCCTGGGGTTCCAATTCCCTGTTCTGTATTCTCTGGGTACCAGACAGAGACTTGGTGCAGACATACATGAAGACAAAATACTGATACACATAAAATAAAAACAAAATCTTTAAAAAATTATGTGAACAATAAAAAAGTCAAACTTTATAAAAATCTTTGACAAATAGATACAGTAAAGCATTTTTTTTTTTTTTTTTTTTTTTGAGACAGGGTTTCTCTGTAGCTTTGGAGCCTGTCCTGGAACTCACTCACTTTGTAGATCAGGCTGGCCTCAAACTCACAGAGATCTCTACCTGTCTCTGTCTCCCAAGTGCTGGGATCAAAGGCATGTGCCACCACTGCCCGGCCAGTAAAGCATTTTTATTGTTAAAAAATTATTTGATGTGAATCATTTCTAAAGTTGGGACCTCGTTGTTCTCAGAAACTGTGTCTTGACATAGGAGGCTCTGACCGTGTACTTGATTTACCATCCGGGCCAGGGAACTTTCAGTTTCATCTTGAGTTCTATGGCTTTTTGATTTCCTCAATAAAGAAAGTACTTCCCTTCTTGGTTCACAAACACTCCTTTCCCTTTCTAGTTACCCTCAGGAAGCCTTAGGGGTCACCCATGCCACTGTCCTGCCCTGTTACTTACATACACGGCATCCATTCACTAGCTTCCTAGAATATTCACTAGCTTCGCACTGAGGAGAAGTACTTGTGGAGTGCTCGGCCCTAGTCAAAGTATCTCTATTGCTCCTGCCAGGACAAAGGCTCGGATGACATTTAGGAAGAGGGGGAGGAAAGAACCTAAGGAAAAGAGCCCAGGAAACTGTCTGCTGGACATGGCATGCTCACTGCACATGAACTCATAGCAGCTGTAGCTACCTGCACGAGATTTTGCAGGTCAAGATTCTAGGGTAGAGGCAGGAAAGACTCATGCAACCTCACCCCTTAACTGAGAAGCAATTGGCAATTCCTAGCTGCTGGGAGAGGGATAGTCATGTTCCTTCAGGGGTGTAGGCACTGGTCAGTTGCCCGTGACCCAGTAAATAATCCTGTACCAATGCACATGCCAGCAACCCTAATTGAACTCAGCAGGTTACTTTAACAAAGACAGAGAGAAGCATGGAGTGTAGGAGGGCTGTGTTGGGAAGAAGGGCTCCAGAGGAAGTGAGGAGGAGGAGAAACTAAGATATTGAGGAAGGAGGGGTGAACAAAATACATTCAACATGGTTGAAATTGTCCAAGTATAAATAAAATGTATGTTTAAAAAAAATGTGGGGCTGGAAAGATAGCTTAGTGGTTAGGAGCACTGGCTGCTTTTGCAGAGGACCTGGATTCACTTCCCAGCAACCACACAGCGGCTCACAACTTCAATTCCAGGGGATCCAACGCCCTCTTCTGGCCTTCAAGGGCACCAGGCACAAACATGGTGCATAGACATACATGTAGGCAAACATTCATTTATATATAAAATAAACATAAATACATCTTTTCAAAAAGTACTTTTTTTTCTCCACCCAGCTCCTTTATTTGTGCTCCATTTTCCTCTTTCTCATGTTCCTCATCTATAAATAAATGGTTGGACTACATGAAAAGGTTCTTTGTAGCTCTAAAAGTTCACGATTAAATATTCAAATGACTTACAAGTTCACATTGAATAAATATTTCAGTATTCAAACACATCTTCCACTGTAGTGTTTTTAAATTTCAGGCCCCAGGGGTGAGTACACTATTTTACAATGTATATGCAAAGTGTAAAACAGTGGCTATTTTTGGCTGGCTGGCTGGGTGGTGGTGGTGGTGGTGGTGGTGGTGGTGGTGGTGGTGGTG